AAAAAAAATCTAAGACATACAATTTTAATATAAATATCAATATTAGTTTCTTCAAAATACTGATCATAAATAATATACCTTTGGAACATATATTACAAATTATTATTATAAATATAAATGTAAGGCTGGGTAAGGAGAAAAAAAGCTATTTTTTAAACTTGTAAAAGTGTTACAAGTTAACTAGAACATTAAAGTAAGTTAAAAATCAGTTTAATACTTTTTTTTATTCATAAAATTAAAWATTATACGTTTTTTAAAGCTTACAAATGTAATGGTAATTTAATATAGAGTTCTTACAGTTTTAAATGAATTTCTGTGAGTACTTAGTATACATTCAATTTTAATACTTGAATTAATTATGAAATGCAACAAAAAAATTATTTCTAATCATTTGTTTACCTAACAATCCTCACCTATACTAAATTATAGTTATGAAAAAAAATGTATATATATAATTACCTCTAAAATAATAATGTGCTATGTGTGTAACTTAAAATTTAAACTAACTTTAATTTTTTAGTTCGGTTAATGCCCAGCCTTAGTTATAATTATTAAGGCTGTAGAATTAATAATAGTTTTTACTGATGTAAGGTCCGAAAAAGAAAATCAATTCAGTGTATCACTAAAAGACATTTTATGCGTCGTATAAAAGAAGATGTATCCAAACAGATTTTCTTGGTCAACCAAAACTTGAATGAAGAAATAATCAGTCCATAACAACCACTAAAAGATGATGATACACCAAGTCAATGTGAAACAGTTATATTTCCAGTTGAAAATTATACATCTACTGCTTCAACCAATGATGGTTTGCTTCAATATACTCATAAGGAAGTCAGTAGTAATAAAAACACAAACTATGATAATCCTATTTTTTTAACAGATCATGATAAAAGCCATTATTTAAGTGAAAAGTTACGTAATTTTTTAATTAAATACCATGTTTTACAAAACTGCGTTGATGAACTGTTAATTCTGATATCTATTGGTATAAAAGTACCAAAAACAGCTAAAACGTTTCTACTAACTCCTAAAGTAAACAGTCACAAAGTTAGTATTGTTCACCCTGGCACATATAATATACATTTAGGTGTAGAGTTTATGCTTACTAAAATCTTAGCTCCTCATATTTTTTACATTGAAAATAAGATCCTTATATAATTAAATGTTAATATTGATGGTTTACCATTAACATACAGTTCAAAGTCCAGATTTGGCCAATACTTATATCTTTTGCAAATGTACCAATATTATTAAAAACTGTAGTAAACTTTAGTCTCGGTGTTGTTAAAAAGTTGATTATTTTTTGAACCAAAGGTAAAAAGACTGTTTGACTAATAAATCCTGATGAAGTATCACAAGAATTAGTTAATATCAAATCTTTTTTACCATCAGAGTTTAATCGTTTACCTAGAACATTAGAAGAAGTTGAATATTGTAAGACCACAGAATTTAGAACTTTTTTGCTGTATACTGACCCAATAGTAAATTTGCATCCTTATTTCCTCTGAAACTTGTTTCACTCATAATTACTTAGCTAAAGATTTGTAAGTGAATATTCATCTAATTATGGTGAAGAATATGTTGGTTATAATGTGCATGTTAATTCGTGTCTTTGATTTTGTTTTGACACATGGTGCTTTAGATTTATTTAGTGATTTTAAATTTGAAAATGATTTACAATTTATTAAACAAAGTTCTAAAAAGTTCTAAAAATGCACTTGGAGATATTTATAATCGCATAATCAAACACTTAAATGCTCAAACTAATATTATTTCACAGAATTTCCCTATCCTTGAAAATGAATTGCCCTATGATGATATGGAAAATAATTCAATAAGTAACTGAAACATTATATGAGAGAATTATTTTAAAACAATTTATTGTGAGCTCTAAAAAAGTTAAAGATTCATATTTTATAMTTGAAAATAATGATTTAGTCAAAGTCAATAAAATAATTAATTTTTTGTGTAATATTTTCTGTTAATGGAAATTAATGTGAATGTTAATTTTCTGTATACCTGAGGCTCAAATTTTAATTATTTTAAATATATTAAAATATTAATGTTTTACGGTCCCAATTGATGAAAATAAATATATATCAATTGCATTGCTTCATACTGATTTATTTTAAACTTGTATTATTTACATGATTAATTATTAGAATAAATATTATACTTTTTATACTTGTAATTTATTTATATATGTATGATGTATCTACCAAGGTATCTAACTATATATTTTTAATTTGTATAATAGGCAAATATTATTATGTTAGGTATTGTTTTTTTTTTTTTTTTTAGTTGATTTATTTAATTATTTGTGAAATATCAAAATTGTATGTATAATAAAACTAACTAACTAATAGTTTTTTATATTATTAAAGAATTATATGACCTAAAAATAAACATTCCTTTTTAAGAAATTCGCATTTATCTGATTCTATTTTTAAATTATGAATACGTAATTGTTCGAATACATCGATTAATTTTTGATTGTGATCATTCAAATTTTTTTCATATATAATTATATCATATAAATATACGAGACATTTTATACCTATTAAACCTGCCATYACATTAGCCATAGCCTTAGCAAATGTACTTGGTGCGGACACGAGTCCCATACTTATACGTTTATAATGATAGTGTCCTTGACTTGTCGAAAAAGCTGTAAGTTCCCTAGAAWCTTTAGMTAACGAAATTTGGTGGTACCCACTCTTTAAATCAACTATGGAAAAGAGTTGGCACGGTCCTAATTGATCTAATGTTTCCGTAATATTTGGTAAAGGGTGAAATTCATTTATAGTTACATCATTGAGTGCTCTAAAATCTATAACTATTCTAAATTTTTCTTTTCCYGRCGCATCAGMTTTTTTCTTTACTAATAATAGTGGTGCATTAAATAGATTCATAGATTTTTCTATAATATCATCCCGTTCCATTTGTTCTATTTGTTCTTGAATTATTTTTTGTTGTGAAAAGGGGATACGATACGGTCGTTTGTGAATAGGTGGAGTGTCTTTAGGTATTTTAATTACGTGTTCCGCTGCTGTTGTTATTGTTAAATAATCATTTTCTAAATGAAATATGTCGGCATATTGTTCACAAACTTGTATTATCGATTCACGTTCTTCCGAATTTAAATGTTCGCTCCTAATCAAACTCCTTATTTCATTTACGCGTTCATTATTATTTTGTATATTATTTATTTCATTAATGTCAGTGTCAATGTCGCATTCGTATGATATTCTATTAACTTGACCTACTTTTATAACCTGTTTCGCCTCCGATATATTTAACACACTTATTATAATTTTCCCGTCCTTGACTGT